CTTTGTTGCCATGAAGCAAACATGAACAGTGAGGATTTGTGTAGGGCAGGTAGCAGGCGAGCTCCCTGTCAAAAATCTATTATTAGGGCTCTGATCTCTCCGGCAGAGCACTAGGAGAAACCCGACTGCTGCAAGGACAGCGCGGAAAACAGAGCCCTCTTTGTGCATCCTGACATAATGTATGCAAATAACCACTTCTAATGGCTGGGCTACATTTAACAGAAATAATAAACCAAAATTAAAATTGTGCTATAGCACATATTTGTTTTTTACTCCTATACACACTGTTTTATAAATATATGTTAATGTAAGTAGTCTTTAACTCTCTCAGCAAATATTTATAGTAAACACATGAGCATATGCATACATATATTTTCTTTTCTTTCCACTGATAGGCTACTCTTCATACATTTCTATTGACCAAAATCAATACCACACAGGCACTGAGAGAACTGTGATTATGAAAGTGAATGCTCTTGTTTTTTGAGATTTTCTTTTAATCATGTGGCATAAAATTAAAAGGCAGTTCTTATTATAACTTTGACTTTCCCCCTTTCAGGATAATTCATGCATTTCAACAGCTTGGAATATATGTCCCTATTAATAATGTCATTTTTTCATATAATGTACACATTTTAATTTAATGAAATGACACCTGCAAAGTATTCCCTTAAAAGTCACAATTGCTGCCTGACAGTGTTTTTTGTAAAAACACACAGCTCCACTAACTTACTTGAAAAGTAATTAAAATTAACTGCCTCTACTCATTTCCAAGAATTATATATTCCAACGTGTAATGATTGAATCCGCTATCTAGATCTCTCATGGTCATTTCCAAAATTGTAACACTCAACGTTCTGAATTTCTCTTGCTCTGGAGGACATACATAAACACAGAAATTTTAATAGGCTGTATATTATGCAAATGATGTCAAAATACTCCAGTAAAAATACTACACAATGCAACAATAATTGGGCAAAGTATTAATACTACACAGACATGACAGCTTCAACTGTTATTCCTGAATAAACCAACATTTTTGTAAAAAGTATGAGAACAATTGAGTGCAGAATAAAAAGATCTACTTTTAGCCAAGTTTTCTGCTAGGTCCAGGGTATCTTGTTAAAAACATACCCCCTAAGGACCTGGCTTCCAGACAGAAGCAAAGAAACAAACAAATGACAAAGAAGAATAAAAAAGCATGGAAATTCAAACAGCAGCTCGGCTTTGTTTTGCCTGCAATAGCCATCCTATAGTGCTGCAACAAGATGTGTATTAAAAAAAAACAGACCTCAAATATGTAAGCACAGTATGAAAGCTCACGGAGAGTTTTTTTAAATTTTAACGGAAACAAATCTTAAGGAGGCCTGTAGCTGTTGACAGTATATTAACATTTATTTCTAGGAGACCTGGCATATTACTCTAGTACCTATAAAACATACATTTTCAAAATCATTTATATTTAGCCAGATTGAAACTTCTCTTTCAGAAGTCAGACATCATTATTTATTGTGAGGATAAATATCACCATTAGCTTTGTTTTCAGAATCAAACACTCTCAATTGCACACATAAAATAAGAGTTTGGAGAAAAATCTTGCATGTTCTATATTCTCAAAGTTTAACGCTGCTTGATCAATTGAAAAACCCTTTATAGGAAATCCAGCTGGTCTCTAATTCTGTAAACACACAGGATGGGGTTGGCAAGTTGCATGTTTTGGGGAGCTGTATTTTTTTTCTTTTTTTTAATCTAAAACTTAATCTAAGGTTTTATTTCCTTACTGGTATTTTGGAGGCTTCATCAAGACATTTACACTTTTTTGATTAAGGGGTAGTTCCTGGAAACTTAAAAAATAGATGAATCTCCCATGTAATGAGGCCACAGACATCGTTAAGACTGCTCCAGCCTTTGGGTTCAGCTAGGGCACCATGGCACCAACTAGAAATGAATTCCCTTTATAAAATGCCAATTTGTGAATATTAAAGTGTACCTATTGCAGTGACATTTTCCCTGCAAAGATTTCTTGGCCCTTGGAAAGAGGCAGAGGGTGAGGAGGAAGAGTTTGCACCATGTTCACTAGGGAGGGTAAATGAGAGTCACAGGAGAGCCGGGAGGGACTCTGCTTCACAGCTGCATCTCCCACATCAGGTGGGCCGGCTGCGCTGCTGTGAGGGCTCTGGGAGAGCTCTGTCACACTGTATTAATAATTCAATATTCACAAGGAGCTGGAGAGCAAAGAAAGACACTAATTCGACAGCCTAGTGGTCAGACACCCACCTGGGATACTGGGAGCGGCTGTGTCAGAACCTCCCAATGTGCGGTGCAAGAGGAAATAGCAAAGATTCCTACAGATCAGCAATTCGGGGCTGATCAAATTATAGCAAAACAGGAAGTTAACTTCCTGAGCACAGGCTGGAAAGATAATACTCACTGTGACAACTCAAGGTAAATAGGGCTTTTAAAGGTAATCTCATTAAACCTCTGGTTCTCTGAAAGACCTACAAAATAACTAAGACACAAGTCTTCTCAGAGACATCCGACGAACTTTAGCAAAGGAATTGATAATATTTTTTTATTATTATTAGATTGTGGAAAATTCCCTGTCATTTACTAATTTAGAAGGAATTTAAAACAAATCTTCTTTCCAATGTCCACCTCTCCTGAAAAGATGAATAAAAATCGTTCTATATCTAGCCGTTTCTGCACAAGTCAGGCAAAAGGAGGAAGGAAGTTGCAAGTGGAAGGTGCTTCTTTAGTACGGAGCCATGTTCCGCCTGGAAAACATAAACTGCCCTACACTGAGATCTGCAACAGTGCAGTTAAACTCTCAAACTATCAAGTGGAAAGCAAAAGGTAGGCAGGAAAACATGAAAAGCATATCCAGACTGATCTAAACCCAGTTTAATCCAGATTGGAGGAAGCACTCTAAAACTATTCTAAAACATGAGCAATTCCTTGTGAGCTAGGGGGTCTTGAGCTAGGCACATTTGCACCGGGGCCACCCTGCCTCTTGCTCTGGCAACTCTAAATGCCCTCCTGGGTGTTCTGCCTGCTTGTAAGTGTGCTAGCTCTCTTGGTTTAAAACTGCTTCCTTGTTTTCAGAAATGTGTGTAATGTCACCTCCTGATCATTGAGCAGAAGGTAGCGCAGGGCACGTGCAGGGGCTCCTGACTTTACTGGCCCAGTGGCTTCCTTCTGTGCAGTGACTCAGACAGGCACCGAGAGAGGACAACTACCAGCACGAAACCTCAGTCTGTCTGCAATGACACATGCTTTCAAAACATGATAAATTGATAAAAATTCTAGTGGTTTTCATATATTTTCAATAAGCAGATTTGCATCCTATGGAATGGTATATTCCAAAATGACTTCTTCTGTTTCTTTCGATATACGTAAAACTGCGAGAAGGAAAAGATATTTTTGCATTTACATACACACACACGCACACAAAATAGCAATTTTCCCCAGATCTAAGTTAAAACAGAATTATAAACCATGAAAGTATGGAAATACTGGCAGGTGTTTCCACGTGCCTAAGCATCCACGTGCTGCTGTAGTTTACACTACATACATGTTTTAAATTTGTGACATGAGACATATTTTTCCATAACGCAGTCATTCTACAGATTTTATTAGACAGACTTATGGTAGGAAGGAATATTCAGAAATTGCAACTTAAATGAGAAAATGTGAATGGTGTTACTTATATAAAATACTACTGCAATAGTTCTTTTATTAATTTTTAATGCACAGCACCCACTGTGACCTCCTTTATTCTTTTCTTGTCAACATGGCAGGCTAGAGAAATTGAAATGGGCTATAGCTGTTCTCTTCATTTTCCTTCTTTCCTTCCATTTTGTATAATATTAAAAATATAACATTTCATTGGACTGTCACCGTGATATAATCATTATGCAATAGGCATAATCATTTTTTCTGATCATTATCTCTTGCTTTTCAGCGTTCTCTAAAAACTTCCAAATTCCATGCAGTTATCTAAGACAGTAAGGCAATTTTCCACTGAATACTCTTGTGTGAATTAAAGTTGTATAAAAGGTATCTTTTGCTACCTTTCTTACGGTTCTCTAAGAGTAGCAGCAGTCACATAAAATAAAGCATTTTTGCCTGTCTGGTCTCCGCTGATTACTCTGATTTGGGTGGAGGTGGGAGGTGGTTCCGATACCACAATGTTCGACTTAATCAGGAGGATGCTATTACTGCTGTTATATATATTTACTGCTACCTCTATCACCAAGGAGACTAATCTCCATTCCAGTAAGGTCAAGCAGCTCACAATATTGTCCTCACAGGGTCAAGTTCAAGTTGTCACAGCAACAGAGTACACCGGGTCAGGAGATTAATACATTAGTGTGCAAAGGCACTGAACTGGAGTGTAAAAGTTTTGCTGCTGGTTTTAAAATTAAGCTGTGAAGTGGACTTGGAAATGGGGTCTGTACAAGACATTCTTGTAAATCTCAAAGAGCAGCCTACCCAAATACACATATATTTGCCTAATAGAATCTATCATTTTCAGCATGATGGCAAGAGGACTAAATAAGCTACTCGGAAGCAGTGTATTCAGTCGGGAGGAGAAAGGACGGCCGGAGTTCAGGCTGTGAAACATATACTGCACTTGGAATGTTGATATTTTCCCCTTGTGCTGCCCTTTCATTAGCCCCTGTCTAACGTGTGCCCTGACAATTGTGACAGAATGAAAAATTCCAGGAAAAGTGAGGGTCACAGGAGAAGAGATTTCCGTCCCTTGCTACTGACCCCATCACAGTATTCTGATGCAGCATTTTACCATTAAGGAAAGGGCAACACGAAAGCCTTCACACTTAATCTGCTCCATCTGTCATGACTATTAGAAACACTGACCAGCCACAAGCTCTAAGAACTCGGCACGACTGCAGACATGATATTCTAGCCCACTACAAGGACCTTCTGATGTTTTGTCAGCCTCCAAGGAAGCACCAGGCAGCAAAGAGGGCAACACTGACCTGACACGCCGCCATATGTGGTCCTCTGAGCTCTCCCGACTGCTGGCCAAGGTGTGCTGTCTGCCTCCAGTCCCATCAGGCCCGACACGGTGTTGGTAGCTGTGACACCATCTGCACCACCTGTGAAAAGAAAAGTCAGACGCTTTCTGTTAAATAATGTGTCTGTGAACAAGAACGAGAGGGAAAAAAACAGGTAAACTGTGAAACTGCGAAATAACTAGAAATTCAAACAAACAGCTCAAGTCAAAAAGTAACTAACTGTAAGGGGATGTGGAGAAAGGTCTTGGAAACCTAGCGTACACCGATGGCTTTCACAGCAGCTCCAAGGCAGGCTGAAAGAGCCGTGGAGCTACGCGGGGCATGTGGGGCAGGAGGGCAGCTCGCTGTCCCCACTGCGCGGCACCACCTGCGTCATGGGCTGCCCCACACGGGGAGCCGCTCCGCACCGGGACTACCTGCTCTACTGTGCCCTAGCGGGGAAAGGCCGTGTTCCCTGAACACACACACCCGTTGTGCTACTGGAAGGAGGAACAGGTAAGATATAGTGGTGTGGTTGACATGTAAATATGATATAGATAGGAGTGTGCGTATAAAGCTACATGCAAACACATAAGATTTAATGTTAACAGTCCAATATAATTCCCTTCATAGATTGCTATGTTCTATAATATGGCATGGAACAAAAAAATCTAGCAAACCTCAGTGATCAACGTGCTCATCCTAAATTGCTTAAGTAATATTTTCATATTTCTGTTTTCATATTGACTTGCGTTGTCACTTGTCGTTATTCCAGCACCCCCACTCTCCAAGTCCCCACATGCTGCAAATGAGAAAAACTGCGCAGCCAGTGCCTGCGCTCGGTTACCTTCCTGTGCAGCCAACGCAATTTTCACAATATCGGTGACATTTGGGGTCAGCTTGGCAAAGAAAGGAATCCGAACAGCTTGTCTAACCCAGCGACAGATGTTCCGCACCAGCTCTGGATCCTGTTCAAATAGGTCAGATAAATATAGAACATAATTAAAAGTAATATGAACAAAAGGTATATCAAGACAATGGAAAACTTTGTTATAAGTGGCTATACTGCGATTTTGTGAAATTACATGTCAGCCCTGAACCTCATCTCATTAGTTAACTTATTTCAGACACATCAAGCAACCGCAAATCCATTACATAAAGGTTAGTTCACGAAAAAAGGGAGATTTACTTTTTTTCGAAAGACAAAGATATCACAAAATGTTCATTTCCCAGAGGGCAAAAATACCACTTTGGATGACAGTTTATTTACCCTTCTATTTTAAAGAGTGTTTTTCAGTTTTAATGACTCACTCTACATAAGGTATATTGAAAATAATCCCTGTGATATAAAATAATGCAGTCCTGAAGGACTGTCTGATTATACTGTGATCAAAATAACCAGGATGAGCCAAGGATGCAGAACTATCCGAATGCAACTCAGCAGTTCTGAGCTCTCCTCTGACTTCACAAAATGAAAGATCAAAATCTTTTCTTTTAAATCTGGAAATAGAAATCCCCAAGTGGTGGCTTTTCATGATTTCCAGGCATTCAGCTCCTGTATGGAACAGGTACTATGTAGAGGGCAATCAACTATCTTTTCTATTGAAAACACCTCAGTAGTCCCAGCACTCGAATTCTGGCACCTAAAACAGTTATTCTCTAATACAACTTTTAGGCCATGAGTTGAGTTGCTCTTTTCTTTCTGTTGGTTAATGCTCTTCAACAAATATCTTAACATTTGCAATACTGATGCATGTAAAACACAATAACATAATCTGATTCAAACATAAATGGTGCTATTAAAAAAAAAAAAAAGGTACAAGTAAAGTCGTGGGAAGGTTGTTTGCTACTGCAGCAATTATTTACATCTACTACATCTTCATTGCTCTCACAGATAGCTCTGTCATATAGGAGTATTTTTCTCCCATTTGGATACTATACAAAGTCTGAAAGCTGCACTTCTACACAGTAACTTTGAAAACGGGCCGAGTCTTGATGAGGTTCAGTTTAATCTAATCCAGTGCATATGCAGGTTCGCAGTTTAGCGAGCTAACAGAAAATATTTCATTGCTGCTTTTGTCAGCTTACACCAAAAATTACATACAAACATAAAAAATACAGGCTGTGTTCCTGGAAGGGACACTGTGCTTTACATGAGCAGCAAAATCCAGAGCCTTAGCTCTGCCCTTGCAATAAAAACAGGTATCCCCTGTTTCAGCACGCATGAGAGCTGCCCTGGCAGCACACGAGTAGCTACATCTTCAACTTTCATTTCCATTTTGAATTTCCTTGAGGCTCAGTGAAGAAAGGAGAGAACCTCCAGAAGATACTAACTGTATATCCTTTATGTTAATTCTTCTGCTTAGATATCCTCATAATAATGTGCATGATGCCGGCTTTACAGTTGCTTACAGTGTTGCCATAAACACTCCTGCTCCAGTTTAAAAGACACCATTCTTTCAATCCATATGAAGAGCTCACTGGGAGATTTCTTTCACTTACATTAACCCAATTTTCATTCTGTCTTACACAATTTAATGAGTTTGTCTTCCTTCCTAAATAATTCCCCCCCCCCTTTTTTTTTAAACAAAAGATAGTAAGTTTTCTTTTGTTTTCCATCAGGTGAACTACTCCAATGCCAAAATTAATGCAGCAAATGCAATGGAAGATCTTCAATTTCTCCAGCTAGGAAACAGTTCAAATGATTGATTGTGCTGTTTGTACAGGCAATTCCTTTTGAAAGGCCCATTTGTTGGATCAGTCTTGGAAAACTGCCCATTTTTAGTTCCCATAAAACCACAGGTATCTTAAATGGAAAATAATTTGAAAGGCCAAATGAAAGAGGTGAAATCTTTGGTTTTTTTTCCCTCCACTTAAGATTCCAAAGGGAAAAAACAGCAATCTTTGTAGTGAGGGAATAGTTTCTACTTTTTGTTTTAAGAGAAAAAGACAGAACAAGTTAAGAGTGCCTTGCTTCATAGTGGAAGAGTCACTAATAGGATTTAGAACAACGTTGAATTTTGCATTAAAAAAAAAAAATCCCTGAAATCTGTCCATGTTGTACAGAAACGAGCATTTCCATTTTTTTCCCTAATGACTTACATAATTCATTTATTCATTCACTAAATAGCATACATAGATAATGCTGAGTATGTTCATGAAAAGTTACTGTGAAATCAAACATTTCCTTCTGTGCCAGCCCCAGCCACATGTACACGTGAGAGTTCTTGCAGTTTCCCTTTTAAAGGTGCAAGCTCTCCAGCAGAGTATCCACTTGATCCCTAGATTCCCCTAGAGCAAACTTTGCCTTTTTCTATTCCAGCCTCTCCGGTCCATCTTCCTCCCTTTTTCCTTCTTCCTGCAGCAGGGACACTGTTCTCTCCTTCTTCCTGAGTCCTGTTTCCAAGTCCCTTTCTGTTCCAGTCCTCCCACTGGACACTGTAGTGAGATAGTTATCACTGTATCTTCATATGAAATGCATGAGCTACATAACCCAGAGGAAGTTCCCTGGGAATTATCCAACCTCTCCATGAAAGTTTATCTCTGGGCCAAGAACAATCTGCAGAGCTCATACAAGGAAAAAACTCCTGAGAAGGATTCAAGTATTAGGAGGAGAACATTCACATCTAAGTGCAATCACTTACCACACAAAGGTGGTTCAAAATTTGATTTTGGAATAAAATATTTTGTGACGATATTTAGCAACTCAGGATCAATATTAAGGTGGACAGACTTATTCCTGGACACCAAACACTGAGTTTAAATCCATTCTATTTAGATGTTATTTTGGCATTGGCTTAAGCAACGTGCTCATTCAGTACCTCCTCTCCGTTCAGGTTTCTGGAAGATACATGCTGATTTACAAATTCCATTTACTGGTTTGTAGTAGAGATTGGAATTATAAAACATTCAAAGGCTGAGAATGTAGCTTGTATGAGAACACATCTTGAGGCACATAAATTTCATTACAAAAATCTCTGCTAAAAAAATCTATGTCACTACTAATATAACAAAAATATCTTTTTTTTTATCCTGGCCCAACTTTATGAAACTGCCTGCAGCTTTTATCAGTGGTTTATATTGGTATCAACCAATATAAAGTGGTTGATAAAGCTTGTATAGTAAAAAAATATTTTTGAAATGGCCCAACATGTAAAAAGTTATTAACAGTAAAAACAGATGGGCATTTACATTTGCAAAATCAACAATATGAATTAACTAAAATATACCCTGCGTAATCGAGTAAAGGATTTAAATGATTTTGATTCAAAGTATGCCATGTTACTATAAATGATAACCTTCTTCTGTTCCATGTATCTAGGTTTGTAGGTTCTCTCATTAACAATAATTCAATGCAATTATTACAGAATTTGTATCATAATTTTATTGTGGTTTGTCAATCCAGAAAAATAACTGCATGTTTCAATAGACTTCACCTCCATTGGTAGCATGTGTTATTTTTCTGCTGTTCTTTCTTTTAACCACGCCATCTAAACAAAGCCTTGGTGAAATTAGCATCAACTAAAACGTAACACTGATCTACAGGAATTTGTTAGTGATTTAATACAACACAGCATCTCTTTTGGTGTGAGAGGTACATCAGTTTGTCTTCTATCTTTCTGTTCTTAATCAAATATTGCTTTTTTACTCCAAAGGCACAGGAGATTTTCATGTTACAGAGGTTGTCTTTTTACTTCCCTAAGCAGCAGTACAGAATCATTTCTCCTGAATATTCATTATAGCCTCAGGCTAGATGGAGCTTTTAATCCTAACTACTCATTGCCAGTGGGTAGATATACTAGAGGAAAAACAACTATTCACCTTTTTCTTTTTTTTTTTTTTTTGAGAATGTTCACATGATAAGCTTAACTACCATCAGAACTGTAAGTCCTCAGAAATTAAAGCAGCAAGTCACCTCCCGGTTCCAGCTGGCATTAGTAATGAGCTGAAGCCCACGTCCTTATCACCCCCAAGGCAGATCCCACTTGCACGTTTCAAACGTGGGGTGAAAATGCCATGCAGACATGAGGTCACCTCTCCTTCCGCCACAGGAAAAAGAATAAAACCATGAAGAGATTTCCATAGGAATGTTCGACTGTAGATCTGGGAAACTACTTTTACTACTACCTATCTATCAGGTCTTACAGGATCCTCATTTTTACACATCTTATTACAGCACAATTCTTAGGTTATATCCAAAACATCCCTCTGAAGCATGAGGTGCTTTTATAGCTATTTAACAAATGGAAAGAAGAGAGGCAGGAAGAGTGAGGCACAACTCCTCCTTCCCGTGGCCAGTGTTACTGAGTCACCTGCATGAGGAGCGGAAGCAGCTCTCCTGGCACAAACCTGAGCCTGGCTCCTCGGAATGCCTTAACCGGGAGATACTGCCTGCATTAACCTCACCAGCTCTTCAAAAAGATGAAAATACATCTGTGTTAGGGTAAGGAATACACTTGCCCTAACACCACAAATAATCCCTGGATGCCCAGGAAGTGCAAGCGTCATTATGTATGCCTGTGTCCATATATATATGGAAGGTATCAGATACCATAAAAGTACTTGTTACAGAATTTCTGAGGTAAGTTTACCACTCACTATAGGACATCAGCTGATCTTGCCTAATTACACTTACAGAAAATGGACCACACGGAACAATCTTCCCTCCATCCCTAATTACTATAATGGCAGCAGTTCTATCTGACCAGGAACAAGGTAAGGACCTTTATAGTTAAAAGTAAAACATAACTCTTCCATGTATAACCCCAATTTTACATATGTATTGAGGCTTTCTTACTTAGATCCAACAGAGTTATCATCATTCTGACCTTTTATATAAATCCATTACTCTGTCTCTGATGACGGGAAGTTCTAGATGGCACAGAAAATGATGCAAGATCCATTAGGGGTTTGCATGCACAGTCCTTAAATCTCACTCTTCGCTAACTATATAATGTCCTAAAGAACA